ATACATAAGCACAACAAGGCAAGGAAATGCTACACACTTAGATATACAATACAAAGCAAGGAAATGAAGAAATAAACATAAATGGGTAAGAAATCCTTAACCACAAGCTTGAAATCTTCAAGACCCAAGTGTGTGTGCAAACCCTAGCTTCAAAACTTGTTCTCTCAAGCCCTAAGAACTGAAAGTATGCCAAATATATCTTACAAATGAGCTGGTTTGGGTATTAAAGGGTTTGGGGTCAAAAAATGTAAAATTCCAGAACTGCCCAGTTTTCACGCCCAGTTTCTTCATCGCGTTCGCGACCATACCTTTGCTTTCGCGAAGGTTTGCTAATATCAGCTTCCTCGTTCGCGTTTAGTCCTTCACGTTCGTGAAGGTTCAAGTTTTAATTCATTGCGTTCGCATTGTGCACTTCGTGTTCACGAAGGTCTGACTCCTGCTTTTTCGCGTTCGCGATGTACCTTCGCATTCGCGAAGAGTAAATCACTGGGCAGGTTCTCCTTGTCCATTTTAGCTCCTTTTTGACTTGTTTTCACTTGGTTTCTTCACCATTACTTCTAAATCACATAAAACCTATAAAATAGAAGTAAATGACACTAAATACATGATTTTATCACTCAAACATAGCAAATGTATAGGTTTAAAGACAAGATAAGTTGGTAAAATACCAACTTATCAGAGGGTATGCCCTTTAGGGATTCTTACAAATGCGACATATAGCCTAAACTTCGGGATTGAGTTTTATGCCTATAGTAAGGTCTTACAAAATTTTCATGCATGTTGAGGTCTTAAGTTTTTTCATGACTGTTGAGGTCTTACAGTTTTTTCATGCCTGTTAAGGTCTTACAGTTTTGTTATGCCATTGAGGTCTAATAGTTTATGTTGCTATGTAAAATAGATCTAGCTACCGAGTCTGCTCCCTCAGGGTCTTACGGCCTCGGGTTTTTCAATTAATGGTGATTGACGACAGTCTCCAAGTAATCGAGTTTTCTTGTGCTCGAAGGCCATTTCTCGTGAGCTCTGAATTTCCTCGTTAGAGCCTTATGAGCACGAAGTTGCGAGCTTGAGGTCGTGTGGGTGCCAAATTGTTGATGCTAAGTCTCTGAGTATTTCGGGACATACGTGGAGGGATCCTTGCCATGAGCATGCTGAATTTTCTTTTGGAGTACGAGATTCTTTTAGAAAAAGGTATTCTTTGATTGCTTGTCGTAAATACATGTTGTTTCGTTGCCGTAAGCACGGCATGCGTGGGCATGACTCTTTTGGCCGTTTGGCCTGGTACATGATTTCCTATTGGAACTTAGTCTATTGTTCCTCGGCCCTTCCGAGTTGACGGCATCTTTAAGGGGGTGCCTTCAAGCTTTCGGGCTTAATTGCAAAATAACACCTACGAGCTCGTCGGATCCTCCTTAGGAGGCACGTCGCCCCGCTAAGAACCTAGCTAGCGAGACCCCTTTTAGGGCAGATGTTCGGTCAAGGGGAAGGAGTGTGATTGGTGTCGTTAAGGCCTTGGTATCTTTGGGTAGGGTTAACACTTCCAAACGCCCTGGCCGGGTGTCTGTGTCACGCCCCAAACTAGGGGAGGCACGACTGGCACTCAATACTGAATTCGATCGAGTTAGCCACTAAACATACTAGCTAACTAAACTGGAGGCCCAACAGATCGAGCAGCACAACATCTGAAATACTAAGCCTGGACCATTAAGGTCATGACCTGAATAACAATAAGCCATATAAACAAAGGTAGAAGAGCCAAAATAATAAAGTACTAGCTGACCGATGAGGCCGCGATTGGAGACATACATGCCTACACACACACACACACACACACACACACACACACACACATATATATATATATATATATATATATATATACATGCCAAGCCTATGGGCTGGAGACTGAAAGCTGCAAAAAGAAACCCAGAATGCTGTGTCCACAATAGCCTTTAAGAGTGTCATAAGCACTGTCGGGACAAGTTCCCGACTATACCCAAACTGTACAACAAAAATAACCATCCTATGAAAGTGCCAGGAAGAGTGGATCTTACCAACTCATAGCTGAACCCCGAAATCCCAGCAGAGGGGTCGATTAGAGTCCCTACCTTGACCTGCACACACGAAACAAAAATGCAGTGTCCCCGGGCAATGGGACATCAGTACGAATATAGATTTACTGGTATGTAAGGCATAAAGTAGAATCATACATAACTGATGTAAAAAAAGTAATAGAGATACCACCTGACGCTGAAACTCTGATAGCCTCCATGACCGACATCCGACCTCATAGTAATCTAATATGCATGGTATGCTCGTGTAATCCTATGTCGTGAATACATATATATTGATGCAAATGCATGACATACCCAACCAAATGCTAGCAATGGCGGTCTCTCCCGGTAGCTAACCGGTATCATATTGCCAACTTGTGGCCATCTGTATAATATATATAGTTTTTTTAGGTAAATAGGCCCCTTACCTCCGATTATAGCTCGAAGTCTATGCATAATATGCCATGTATGATATGAACTTTGAATTCACATAATAGGTCATAACAAGAACTTAGCCAATCTTGGCTCGTTGGTACACAGATTCTCATAATCTCATAATCACCTTCGTATCGCATACAATTGTCTCGTGGAACCTTATATGTTTTTTCTTTTTTTTTTTGAATAAACTTGGAAACTTAACTCGACTTTTAGAAAGATAACTTAACTCTGAAGATGTTCATAAAAAGCTTAAGGTGCTTCACTTAGTCCTTATACCTGATTTCTTGATATTTAGTAAAAGAAAGCATTTCAAAAATCAAGTGTTTTGGTAGTTTAAACATAAATATTATGTTTGAGATTTTTTGGAAATCGACGTGTCACTTTAGAGATTTTAAAATACCCTTTAACAAGGAAGAAGGACTAGTCGCAAATACTAAATGCCTTTATTATTTTAGTCACACAACCCAAAGACGAATAACAATTCATGTATATAGACATATAGTTAAGAAAGCCGACAAAATGACATATATAGATGTCGAATATCCTATTTAACCGAATGAGTGGAATATAAACCTAATAGAAACATGAAAATACTTCAGCTATGATCCCAATGCCTTTCACATAAGATCTTTCTAGCAATAGAACGGTAAAATATCACAGTTGACGTCTTAGGAATTTCTCAGAATTCGTGCTAAAAGGAAGGACGGAGCTTAGCCTTAACATACCTTTCCAACGAACGTACGAATGTATGTAGTTCCTTCACGAAAGTTGTTCCTTACATCCTAAGATTCGCAAACACTATATATATGCAGCTTATATGCACCTATAAATAGTTCATAATTGAGTTTAAATCGGCAGATTTGCCATATGACCCTAACTTGACGAAACATCCGTAGAACTTTGTAAAACCGATCATAAAAGATTCCCAATATGATTATCTTGGCGAACCAAGTATAAATCCTAAAGAACCAACAAAAATAACAAATTCCTATCTTCCAAAAATAGCTCCAAACATAGCTAATAGAAGGGGGAAACGATTACAAAGCGTAGAGATTGTGTTTCTAGGCACGGGGCAAACTTTAACGATAGAAATCGTTACAAACGCACCTTAATCACTCAAGAACACCATGGAACCTTCTCTTCTGCTTGATAACTATTTTGGGACTAAAATGAAATATTTTGAGGACTTAAAAGTCGAATTTGCCGATTTATAACACTTGTTTGACCCGACCCTGTGCGCGACCCAGTTTCAGCCCGGACAGTCCGCGATAAAACAATCATAACTCTTTACTTCGATATCGGTTTGATGTGAGGTTTTTTTGGTTGTGAACTAGACTTGTAGAACTTCGATTCGGTAGGTTGTGTGTCCCATAAATATTTATATATTGGGATAAATGGTTTGATACATTTTACCTAAAGTTTAGAAAATTTATTAGAGAAATTTACGATAACTTTTGCCGACCTTTATTTCGCTACTTGCTTGACTCCACAACTTAACATGTGACCGGTGGGATATTATAATACCTCATAACACATTATTCTTAGTATATTAGACACTATTAGTCTTATCCCACAGGTGCAAGTTAACTTAAACCTTCCAAACGCGTGGGGTACTACCCGAGCCATTTCTTTAACCACGAACCTTTGTTAAGGATTCCTTTGACCTAAAGCTTTAGCTTAGTTCCTTGATTTTACCACACATTTTTAGTCTTATTCTCCCAATGTGCTATACCCAATCATATATACCTAATATAACCACTCCACGTTACGTATATTACGTAAATTAAGAGAGAAAAAAACACATGGGGTCTCACAGTCTCCCCCCCTTAAGAACATTCGTCCGCGAATGGGTCAAGTCAATTCCTTGGTTTCATTTCTTTTTCACTAATACGTTTTTTGCGAGGCTATATTTGTTACATTTGCAAAGCATAAATCAAATTCTGAAGATTCCAACTACTAGGCTTCGTATAGCTATCTCGCAATAAGAAATTTAAATTGCACTTTCAAGTCATTTAAAATCCAATTAAATTGCTGTAAAGAAATAATTGCCAAATTATTTAAATGCGACTCACCTTAAGTCATAAATAGGTGGGGGTCCTTCTTCCTCATTTCCTCCTCAGCTTCCCAAGTCATTTCCTCGATGTTGTTATTTCTCCATAATACTTTCACGGAAGCCACTTCTTTAGTTCGAAGATTTCTTACCCGCAGATCTAAAATAGCTACTGGTACCTTTGCATAAGATAAGTCTTCAGCAACGTTAATATCATCAATGGGCATAATACGTGAAGGATCTCCAATGCACTTCCGCAACAGAGATACATGAAACACAGGATGGACTGCTTCCAATTCTGAAGGCAAATCAAGCTCGTACGCCACCCTACCAATCCTTCGAATAATCTTATACGGTCCAACATACCTGGGGCTAAGCTTCCCCTTCTTTCCAAATCGCATAAAGCCCTTCATAGGCGATACTTTCAGGAAAACCCAATCTTCTACATCAAACTCTAAGTCTCATCGTTGAACATCTGCATAAGACTTCTGCCAACTTTGTGCTGTACGCAGACAGTCTCTAATAAGTTTTACCTTTTCTATTGCTTGCTGGACTAAATTAGGACCTAGCAACTCTGCTTCCCCGACCTCAAACCAACCGATCAACGACCTACATTTCCACCCGTGTACTGCTTTATAAGGAGACATCTGAATACTAGTTTGGAAGCTATTATTATAAGCAGACTCAATAGGAGGTAGATGATCATCCCAACTTCCTTTAAAATCTAGCACACAGGCACGTAACATATCCTCAACTATCTGAATAGTACGCTCTACCTGTCCATCAGTTTGCGGATGAAAAGCGGTGCTAAGATTTACCTGCATGCCTAGACCTTTTTGAAAAGATTTCCAAAAATGTGCGGTAAATTGAGCCCCTACATTAGAGATAATAGATAACGGAACTCCGTGAAGGCGAACAATCTCTCGAATGTAAAGCTTGGCATAATCCTAGGCTGAATATGTCGTCTTGACTGGCAGGAAATGAGCAGATTTTGTAAGCCTATCAATAATTACACAAATAGCATCATACCTCCGTGGAGTGCGAGGCAAACCAGTGATGAAGTGCATATTTATCATGTCCCATTTCCAATGGAAGTTCAATATACTGAGTTAGGCCTCCAGGCCTCTGATGTTCGGCTTTAACTTGCTGGAAGCTGGGACATTGGGCTACCATCTATGCGATATCGTTTCTCATTCCATTCCACCAATAGGTCTGTCGAAGGTCCCGATACATCTTTATCGCTCCGGGGTGAACTGTATATCTAGAATAATGGGCCTCCGAAAGAATCTTGGCGCAAAGCTCTCCGACTATCGGTACATATAAGCGGCCCTGGTATCTAAGGACTCCATCTCTATTTAGCTCAAATAAAAGTTTTCATTGTTGTGGAATACTTTCCCCTCAGTTTTATAAGCTCAGGATCCTCGTGTTGTCGCTCTTTCACTTCAGTAACAAAAGAAAATTTTGCCGCATTCTAAACGAGAATGCGTCCACCCTCTACGTCTACCAAACGCACCTGCAAACTGGCTAGTTGGCATAGATATTTGGTCATCTTGACCTTATCAACATCAACATGGCTTAAACTGCCCATGGACATCCGGCTAAGGGCATCAGCAACAATATTAGCTTTGTCGGGATAATATAAAATGTCAACATCATAGTCCTTTAGTAATTCCAGCCATCTTCTTTGTCGTGGGTTCAACTCCCTCTGTTTAAATAAATACTGAAGGCTCTGGTGGTCGGTGAAAACATCAATATGAACCCCATATAGATAATGCCGCTAAATCTTTAGGGCGAAGACAACTACGGCTAACTCAAGATCATGCGTAGGATAGTTCTGTTCATGTTTCCGCAACTATTTGGAGACGTACGCGATAACCTTACCATGCTGCATAAGAACACAACCTAGGCCAATTCTCGAGGCATCACAATATACATTATAACCCTTGGTGCCATCCGGAAGAGTCAAGACAGGTGTCGTCGTAAGCCTTTTCTTTAGCTCCTGAAAACTTTGTTCACATGCCTCAGTCCACTGAAACTTAGCTCCCTTATGTGTTAGTTTTGTCAATGGTGCAGATATAGAGGAAAATCCCTCCACAAACCTTCGATAATACTCTGCCAAGCCTAAAAAGCTACGAACCTCTGTCGGATTCAAGGGCCTCAACCAAGTCATCACAACTTCAATCTTTTGGCCATCAACCTTGATACCATCGACGGTAATAACATGACCAAGAAAAGCTACAGAAGTTAGTCAAAATTCACATTTAGAGAATTTAGCATATAACCTGTAGTCCTGGAGAGTCTGCAATACAGCTCGCAAGTGGTCCGCATGCTTGGCTTCCGATCGTGAATATATCAAGATGTCGTCAATAAACACAATCAGAAATTCATCCAAGAATGGTTTGAATACCCGGTTCATAAGATCTATAAAGGCTGTTGGGGCATTTGTAAGCCCGAAAGACATGACAAGGAATTCAAAATGGCCATACCTCATCCTAAATGCTCTTTTTGGGATATCAATATCTCTGACTCGTAGCTCATGATAACCGGATCGCAAGTCGATCTTTGAAAAGCATTTGGCACCTTGTAACTGGTCGAACAAGTCATCAATCAGTGGGAGAGGATACTTATTCTTGATAGTGACTTTATTTAGTTGCATGTAGTCAATACACATCCATAAGGAGCCACCTTTCTTTCGAACAAAGAGCACTGGAGCACCCTATGGGGATGTACTTGGCCTAATAAAGCCTTTATTGAGCAAGTCCTTAAGTTTTGTTCCTTCAATTCCGTTAGCTCTACAGGAGCCATTCTGTAGGGAGGAATGGATATAGGCTGCGTATAGCGAAATCGATTTTCCTTTCGGGGGGAATTCCTGGAAGCTCGTCAGGGAATACCGTTGGGAATTTATTCACAATAGAAACCGACTGAAGAGTCACTGGCTCCTTACCTATATCCCTGACATGAACCAGATGGTATATACAGCCTTTAGCAATAAACTTCCGAGCCCTAAGGTATGAAATAAACTTACCCTTGGGCATGGCTGTATTACTTTTCCATTCAAGGACATGCTCACCAGGAAAATGAAATCGGACCAACTTTGCCCAACAATCAATATTAGCATAACAAGCTACCAACCAATCCATACCCATAATGACATAGAAGTCTAGAATAACCAATTCAAATAAATCAACAGAGGTTGGACGATCATTAATTAACACTGTACAACCTCGATAGACATGATTAGCTACAATATAGTCGCCAGCTGGCATAAACACCTCAACTGACTGTGGCAACAACTCAGATCTCATGTCAAGCTTACCAACAATAAATGGAGTAATATATGAAAATGTAGAGCCGGGATCTATCAATGCATAAATGGCATGAGAATGTATTGTCAATATACATGTGACAACATTTGGGGATGCCTCTGAATCCTGTCAGCCTGTGAGTGCATAAAAGCGGTTCTGGCCACTACTAGAACCTAAGGTGTCTCCTCCACCTCTCCCCCTACCATGGCCCTGAGTAGACTGTGGACCTGGTCGGGGAGCACGGACTGAGGGCGAAGAGGCTGTTGTGGATCTTGAAGGTTGAGCTGGTGCACCTCTGCCTAACCCCAGGCACCGGCTAATAAAATGTCTTGTCTGCCCACAATGATAACATGCACTTGAACCTTGTCTACACTACCCCGTATGCAGATTACTACACTGAGTACATGGAGGAGTAGGTTGTCTCATTTGTGCAGACCTGCCGACGGCCCTTAGGCTGGCTTGAGCTTTGCCCGGTCTTGACTGAATATAACGATCAAACTGTTAGCCCTGCATCTGTGGTGGGAAACTACCTGCTGAACGAGGTGGATATCGATGGAGTTGGGGCCTAAAGTCACCCTGTAGCTCCCTATTAAACCCCATAGTACGAGCCCTCTTACTCTGCTCCCTATCCCTACGAGTATCACGAATCCGACGGGAAAGGTCCTCTGTAGTCTGAGCGAAAGCCTGTATGCAGGAATTATCTACATCATCCGATAGGGATGCTACCCTACAGTCTCTAATCAGATGATCCCCCAAACCATCCACATAATGATGAACTCTAGCCCTCATGGTACGTACAATATCTGGTGCAGACCTCGCCAAAGAATTAAACTTATGGATATAATCCCTCACACTCATATCCCCCTACTTCAGGCTAAGAAATTGGTCAAGACGGGCCTCCCGAACCTCCCGTGGCAAATAATGGGCCATAAAGCCTCAAAGAAGTCCTCCCACTCTGCTGGCGGAGCATCAGGTCCTCTAGATCTCTCCCATGCCTCATACCATAGAACGACTACATCACGTAGTTGAAAAGAAGACAACTCCACAGCCTCGGTGACGGAGGCAATGCATCACCCTAAATACTCTATACATATGGTCTATAAAATCCTAGGGATCCTCAGTGGAACTGGATCCTGTAAATAATGGATGGTCCAAGTGAAGAAACTCTCGTACCGTCGAGCTTCCTGTCCGATCTCTCTGGGCATCTGCTCCTGACTCTAACTGTCGCTCATGAATAGAAACCATCCTAGTCAGCAACTGAACTGCCTCCCTCATCCCCTACTCCCCAGTCTCTGATGGGGGGAACAACAGGTGCTGGAGGTCCTGTGTCTCTAGCTGCCTCAGGTACTAATAGAACTGGTGAGGCTGGGGGTACTGCATCTCCCTGGGCTCCAACAAGTGCTGGGGAAGCTGAAACTAGGGGTACTAGAGACTCACTGTGTGCCTATAAGGGAAATTTATCCCTCTAACCCGGTGGGGAAGGACTGGTACCTTCCCTCGGATCCATACATATCTCTCGCTGTGCCATCTC